ATCCAGCACTCAGTCCACAGTACCAAGAAGCCAGTAAGAAGGCTGGGGCTCCCCTTTGAAGCACAAAGCCACCCTCCTCTCTGGAGCCATCCGCGCCAACAGCCTCACTCAGCAGGCTGCCAGAGCAGAGAATTCCACGCATTAATGGTGGGCTGGGGAAAGGGGGACAGACAGGGGCTGGGATACACACATCTTCCTGGACCTAAACACTAAGGAAAGACAATCTTCACAGCCTTATATTACGTAAACAAAAATGGGCTTTTGTGATTCATCCTCTGTTTCCTCAGACAGTAAACAGACACTTAGGGCTTTTTATGCTTCAGAGCAAATGAGATTACTGCTTTAATAGTTCAGCAGCTCTCAGCCTCCCACCAATGGGCTCTTTGCCTGTTCTTTGGAAGCACACACTTGTTTAAAATTAGTTTTATTATAAATCACCCTCCCAATGAAGTGACTGCCTTCACCCTCTGACAGATTTGTGTCCTTTCATGTTTTTAATGATGAAAGGCTTCCTCCTTCTTCATTCCTCCCTCCCCCCCAATTTATTCTCTCCCCCTCTCTCTCCTCCTTCAACTCCGAATTTAGCTCAGGAATAGCAAGTTCCAGGAGACCACAGTAAAGGGACCCCCTCTTTACCAACCAGAGCAGACAGTGTGGCAGCAGAATTGGGCTGGCCGAGGAATTCTGCCTAGTTCCTGTCCTTACCCCAGATGAGACCCTGGCAAGCCCCAGATATGTCTCTCTCCAGAGCTAACTAGGGCCACACACCGACAGCCACAAGTGATGTTTGCCTGAACAGAGAATTCTTGAACTCTATCACCTTTGACTCAAATCAGCCATGCTTTTTAAAATAAAGGAAAAAATATATATAGAATTCAGGGTTACGTTAAAAAAAATGACATAGAACTACTGTATTCTTTTACCCAGGCTAAACTTTACATCTCATCCATCCATTCATCCATCTACTTCACCCCAGGCACCTTGACATCCACCTTCCTATCTGTTCAGACTGTCTCATTTCCATATTTTGCTCTAGGAATCATATTCAAATGAATACATCACTCCTTTCCCAAAAGAGATGGGCTGTCCTAGGACTACACTCATCATTCTTGTTATTCCCCATGCAGAAGTCCCTTCCTTAGCCTTTACTCCCTTATATGTATGATCACTCCCTGTTAGAATACAATATAAACTCCCTGAGGGTAGGGATTGTCTAACTTTATTTATATCCCTAGCATCTAGTACAGGGTTTAATACATGCTTTCTTATTCATTCATTCAATCATTGATTCACTTTAAAAATAAATTTAGTCTATCTCAGAGTCTGGTGAGGAGAGAGAAAACCTGTTTGGCATTTTGGGGATTTTTGTATTTTAAATTTGTCTATTTTTTAATAAAATATTTATTGATATTGCAACATATAAATGTCTTATTTGTGCTTCTTTCCTTCCTTCCTTCCTTCCTTCCTTCCTTCCTTCCTTCCTTCCTTCCTTCCTTCCTTCCTTCCTTCCTTCCTTCCTTCCTTCCTTCCTTTCCTTCCTTTCCTTCCTTTCCTTCCTTCCTTCCTTCCTTCCTTTCCTTCCTTCCTTCCTTCCTTCCTTCCTTCCTTCCTTCCTTCCTTCCTTCCTTCCTTCCTTCCTTCCTTCCACCTTTCTTTTACTTTCCATTGACTCAGGATCCTAGATCAAGAGCTGGAAGGCTGTCAGATGTCATCTAGTCCAACTCTATCACTTTAGAGATGAGGAAATCAAAGCCCAATGACTTGCCCAAGATCACCCAGGTGAATGGAAGAACTGGGATTTAAACCCAGGTCCTCTGAACCCAATTCCATCACTTTTCCCACAATGCCATGCTGTTCTCCAACCTTCCCCCTCCTCCTACTCCCCTATCCTGTACCCCCCACCATGGCAATAGAACCCTCCAGCTGAGCAAAGAAAACAAATCAACACATGAGACATGCTCAGAAACTTAGCTTAAGTACCTCTGGTACTATTGTGACTTCCTAGCATGGAGTAGATGGAAACAGCAGCCATGGAGTCAGAGAACTTGACTAATCACATGACCTCTCTGAACTTCTCTTTCTTTACCTGTAGAATGGGGATAGTAGAGCATGCATTATTGCCCTTGCAAGGTTATGGTGAGGCAAAGAAATTGTAAAAGCTAAAGTGCATCAGAAATGTGAGCTGTTATTAATCGTCTAACAACTTTTTCACTTTGTCAGTCTTGCCTAACAGAGTTCCTTAGGGGACATGCTTCAGTGAATTATAAGAAAGGTTTGTAATTGGCATATCAATTATTTGTTTTCAGAGCAATCATTTACATGCAATGTCTTTTAAGTTGGCTTAGTCCATTTGCTGCATACTTAGAAAAGTCTTCCAGTATTGGCTTCCTAACTTGGTATTTAGTTCCCAGAGTGGATTCAAGGTCCTTGAGAGTCTGTCCTCCCATTTCACAAAAGGGCCTTGCAGGATTGTACCTGAGGCTTTTTATCCAGCATCACAGGGCTATTCATAATCTCCTTAAAAAGACAGGTGAGTGAGCGAATGAGTGTGTGTGTGTGTGTGTGTGTGTGTGTGTGTGTGTGTGTGTGTGTGTGTGTAAAGGGAACTATGCAATTGCTGTAAAATCCAAAAGACAGGTTTGAATGGAAGTCTGAGGTGCTTCCTTTTAAGAACAGTGATGCAAATAAGGTTCTCCTTGAATAGGGACACTGATTTCAAGCCTGGTAGCAGGACTGGATTCCGCTTTCTAGTGATCTGTGTTCCTCCACTGAGGACTGACATTCTAAAGGGCCTCCTACAGTCAGGTCATATGGGGGGGGAGGGTCAAGACAGTGTGGCACAATGGAAAGAACAATGGATTTGAAGGCGAGTCTCAAGTCTTTTTGGAGTCTTCTTGAAGACTCTTGAAGTCTCACTTGTAATGAAAAACCAGTTCTGTTATTTGCTATACATATCACAGGATCATAAGTTATGAAATCGACAGAACTTCAGAAATCAGTTAATTTGGCCTTTAGCTGAAGAGGAATTCCCTCTGCAAGTTCCTTCATCAAAGTTCATGGAGCCTTCCTTGAGGCTAGGTAGCACAACCGATGGAGCTCGGGGCTTAGAGTCAAGAAGACCTTAGTTCAAATTCAACCTCAAATACTTAATAATTACATGACTTTGGGCAAGTCACTTAACATCTGTCCACCTCAATTTTCTCAGCTGTAAGGAGGAGATATTAATAGCATCTACCACTGAGAGTTGTTGTGAGGGTTGAAGGAGATTTGTGAAGAGTTTAGCACAGAGCTTAGCGTGGGTAGTAGGTGTTTAATAAGTGCTTATTTCTTTTCTTCCTTAACATCTCCAGTAGGAAAAAAAAAAGCATTCCACTTAAAGGCAACCTAATTGATCTATTTGTTAGGAAGTTTTTCTGTACTCCCCACTCTTGCCAACACACCTAAATGCAAATACACCTTTCTGCATCTTCCACTCTGGATATCCTAGTTGGACCCTCTAGAATGTGTTCTTAATCTGGGGTCTGGAGAGCAATAAACATAGAAAGGGAAAAATCACATATTTTATTTTCATTCATTTCTCTAATTTATCATTTCTTTCAGTTATTTAAAAAAATTTTAATGTAAATAAATTAATAACTTTAATAAAAATAATTAAAATTATCCTCAAAAGGGGTCAATAAGTTTCACCAAGTTAAGTCAGAAGCATTTATGAAGTACCTACTATATACTTATGTACTAAGTACCTACTAAGATACTGAGCTAAGTGCTGGGGCAGCAAAGAAAGGGAAAAAAAAAAGAAAAGAAAACAGTACCAACTCTCAAAGAGCTCACAGTCTAATGGGGAGAAAAGAAACAATCAGGCAAACAACTATGTACAAATGAGATCTATACAAGGTAAATTGGAGACAATCACAGAGGGAAAGCACCAGCATTAAGAGGGATGAGGAAAATCTTTTTATAGAAGGTGGGGCTTTTACCTGGAATTTGGCAGAACCCAGGGGAGTCAGGGCAAAGAGAAGGAGGGACAGCCTTCCAGTCACAGAGGACAGCCAGAGAAAATGCACCAAATTGGAAGGGGGAGTATCTTGTGTGAGGAACACAAAGGATATCAATGTCACTGAATCCCAGAGTCCTTGGAGGAGTAGAAGGTATAAAATAATGTAGGAAAATAGGAGGGAATCAATTTGTGAAGGGTTTGAAGCCCGACAAAAGATTTTATATTTGATATCAGAGGTAATAACTAGACTGCCACAGAGGTATATGAGAGACACAAAAAGATTTAGAACCCTTCCTGGAGGAGGGGAAACAGAAGAAAAAAAGGGGGGATAAAGGAAATTTACATGATTACTATATATTTAAAAAGAATAGCAAATTGTACGTAATAGATTTGCAGTTTCATGTGCAATCATTTTCTATTACTATTATTATTATTATTATAACATGTTGTAGAAATGCTTGGTTTATTCCATAAATTAAAAATAAAATAAACAATTTTTTTAAAAAGAACCATTCCTCTAGAGCTAAGAAGAACAAATCAAATTGCTTTTCTACCTAATAGCCCTTTGAATAATACAAAGCAAAAATCACACCATACCTGAGTGTTCCCAATTTTAATCATACTCAGTTCTTTTAACAAATCATCCTTGTGATCTCTTGGCTTCCTCCGTATTCTGGACATCCTCCTCTGGATAATCTCCAACTTCCTAAAATGTTATTTGCTCAAAATGTGTGCCCCCTTCAAACTTCAGCCGTGGTCTAAGCAGAGCTAAAGGTAGCCACATGAATGTCTTCTTTCTTTTGGACACAAAGCTTTTCTAAACCCTGCATGAGATTGCATTGGCTTTGAGGGCTGCCATATTGGAATCAATTCATTCTGAGCTTGTAGTGTATATAGAAAACATTAAGATCTCTAGCCAAAATCTGTTGTCTAGCCACACCACATCTATCATATGCTTGGGAATTTATTTTTGGAATCTAAATGGAACCTGATCTTCTCTCAGTTTCAACAGTTGTAAGAAAGAGGATGGAACAAGCTGATGACCTGACACCCTGGAGCCATAGAGTTTCCATGGATCTTCCAAAGGTCAGTGTGCCCACCAAGCTTTGGTTGTTCAGGGAGCCAGTATACCAAAGGAGGGCAGAAATGAGGTAAAATTTAGTTGTCATGCAAGTTTTGGGGAGAAGAAAAAAAGCAAAAAAAAGAAAAGGAAACAAGATGATATTGGCCAAGGACTGCATTGGCTTGTAGACCTTCAAGTTATGTTTTCATGATGAGAATGTGATAATTTGCCTTGCTTCTGGGCAGTACCAGGTTCGTGAAGCAAGCTCCAAGGCAAGAGAGGTTGCAAGTGTGGCTAGTGTGAAGTAGCCAAGATCAGTTGGAGAAGGATTCAGCATCTTAGTCCAGATTGCTGTTGGCCGCCCTGGAGAAGGAGATCATGTAGATATACTGAGTCACAACTCCTTAGATATTGACTCTGTTAGAGACTATAAGTAAGAAAACAAAATAAAACAAAAACTTGGGGACAATTTTTTTAGCTCCACGTGGGAGCCACTGATGGGATGTATGATTCTAACCACCTTAAATGCATCAGTTGATCTCTAGCCTGTACAGTGGTTAGGCAAGGCAGATTAGTGGTACAGTGGATAGAGTAGTAGACCTGGAGTCAGGAAAACCTGAGTTCAAATCCACTCAGATACTTAACTTTCTGTGTGACTTTCAGCAAGTCATTTAATCTCTGTCTACCTCAGTTTCCTCAGTTGTAAAATGGATATAATAATAGCACCTGCTTTTCATATTATGAGGATAAACATAACATGTTTAACACAATGCCTGGCACATAATAAATGTTTGTTTGCATCCTCTTGCTCCAGTTAACAGCTATTTAGGGCTGTAAGGAGCCACAGGCAACATGCAGTAGTTATTTTAATATATTTGATTTTATCCCTTTTGCACAAACAGAAATGAACAAAGCACAGTATTCAGTCAAGCCACACTTGTGTGGTCAGCTCCATGAAGCCATGCTCAGGTGATGAGAACTCATTGAAATGCTGCAGAAAAGAAAGGAGGACAGAGCATACTAGTGGAGGGAGAGGAGGATCACAACCAAGAGATTAAGTAGACAAATTCACATGGATTACACCATTGGAATGATAACATGAACACTGACACCAGATTGGAGCTTCTCCATGCCAGCATGTCAACAGTGAGTATGAATCTTGTTTCCTTGAACTAACATTGGTTGTTGGTAGAGAATTGGTAGCAAGAGCAGCTGGTGGACGAGGGACTCCAAAAAGTGATACAAGCCAAGAACTGATGCAATGAATCCAAAGGACTAGTGTTCCAGTCTTTTGAAAGCCTCTTAATGTTAGAATAAAAACAGAAAATTGTAACTGTGTAATGGAGTACTGTGGGTAGCTAGGTGATATAATGAATAGAGTTTCAAGCCTGATGTCAAATCCAGCCTCAGACACTTACTAGCTGTGTGATCTTGAGTAAGTCACTTGACTCTGTTTGCCTCAGCTTCCTCACCTGTAAAATGATCTGGAGAAGGAAATGGCAAGCCACTCCAGTGTCTTTGCCAAGAAAACCCCACCTAGGATCACCAGGAAGCAGACAGGACTGAAACAACTTAACAATAACAGCAAATGGAGTACTGTGCACAATGGTGTCACATTTAAATAAGAACAGATCCCTGGGGATTGCATACTGACTTAGAAAACCACAAATTAGCATTATTTGTGCCATAGCGTATTTTAATTTTTTTTCTGTAAATATTTTTCAATTACATTTTAATCTGATTTGGACCTCACTCTGGAGTTTTGCTGGATGCATGTGGTTTATGGGCCATGAGTCTGACACCTCTGCTGGATAATCCTATGACTATTCCCACACATGGTGCCAGAAAGCAGCTGGTGCTACATAGCCCATATTCCTATATAACCATGAAAGCTTTGCATGATGTCTTTGGACACATGGGTAAAGAGAGTGCCCTGGAGTTAGTAAAGATCAGCTTTTACTGGCTGCAGATGGCTGCAGATGTCACCAAGAAGTATGAGATACATTTGTTGTGCACGTAGAAAATCACTGCCAACTCATGCTATGTATTTGGAGAAGATAAGCACTAGCAAACCTTTGGAATTTGTATATATTGACTTCCCATCTCTGGAAAAAAAGATAGGATAATAAGTCAGATATTGGTGGTAATGGACCATTCCAGATGGCATACCCAAGCAAGAGCCAGAAAATGATGTGAGAGAAGTATTTCTCAGGGCGTGGACTTCCTTCCAGAGTCCATTTGGACCAAGTCAGAGACATGGATAACATGCTACTCAAGGAAACACAAGCATTGACTGGCATCATAGGGTCTAGTACTACACTTTCCCACCCTCAAGAGGATGCATAACCTGAATGTTTCGATGTCTATGTTTCAAACATGTTATAGACACAGAACAGAATAAAAATCTCAGCGGAGTCAGCAAGTGATTTCCCTAGTACTTAAGAACAACTCCACCAGGAATCATGGCACCACTTTAGCCCGGACCTGTTGACATTGGGCACTCCTACTTGTTGCCTTGTATTTTGGAATCTATGGGGAGGAGAGCCTGGAGATACTCATGTCCAGCCTATCTTTCAGTTGAGAGAAAGGCTGATAGAAACTCACCACCACAGTTATTACCACAGCAACTCAAGAGAGTGCTGGCAAAAACGAATGACAGCGTGATATTCTAGTTCATTGTCAAATTTTACTAAGAAATCTTGGTGCTTATGAGACATACAAATTAGCTGATCGATCAAAACTACTCCTCACCTAGTTGTAGAGAGACTGGGCAGCTTGCCTAGTTACAAAAAAAAGCTTCAGGATTGACAGAACCTCTGTAAAGATGGTTCACTGAGACCACTTTGTGCCTCTTGGTGAGTTGTTTGGACTCACTGACAAGGCAGTAGAGACTGCTGGACACGTACTTCAGCAGACTCGAAGCAAAAGACACTGCTTGCCGTTGGCATGAAGACTGAGCTAGAAAGGCGCTCCGAAATAGGCATTTAAAGTGAAGAATGCTCTGTGTATCTTAACTCAAGAGCCAGTTCAAATAAAGGGAGATAAGAATTCAGAGGCAAAACCTGTTCTGCCTAGAATTTCTGAAGTTGCTACCCTTAGGGTACCTAGGGGTGGGGAACCTGTGGCCTCGAGGCCACATGTGGCCTTCTAGGTCTTTGGGTGCAGTTATTGAGGGCATTTGTTCTGTGAAATTTGGATTCAGTCAAAGGGCCACACTTAAGGACCTAGAGGGCCACATATGGCCAGGAAGCTACAGGTTCCCACCCCTGGGACACATCCCACAGAGCAAAGAAACTGGCAGCCAGACAGAGCCTTCCATAAAGTCAGGTTTAGGGATATGGGATTATAGTTCTGATGAGGGCTATGACCAGCCCTTACCATCAATCTAGCTTAGATTTAGGGGCAGAAAGGTCAACAGGTTAGAGCTGGGCCTGTTCAACTAGTAACTAGACTAACTTATGCTTTTATAGGAGAAACTTTACTAATAGTTATACATATAGCTAGAGAGCAATGCTGTTCACTCATGTAATGTGTGCCTTGGTACTTATACAAACTCATTGATGGAGGGGATAATCGTGTTATGTTTTGAGACTGAATCTGTTTTATTTTCTCATTCACATTTATTTGAGTTTATTCTAAGATCATGCATGTCTAGTAGCCATATTTAGTTTTTCTTGTTTGCCTATCTGTGTATACATGGCTATTCTGTGTATTTCCATTATTCTGCAATTTATTATTACTTTATTTGTGAATTGCTATTATGCATATTTAGTGATTAAGGGAATAGGCATTTATTAAGTGAATACTATATGCCAGGCATTATACGAAGTACTTTATAAATATCATTTCTTTTGATTCTCATGACATCCCTGGGAAGTAGGTACTATAATTATCCTATATTATTATAACAATATTATTATTACATTTGAGAAAATTGAGGCAGACAGAAAATTAGGGGACTTACCCAGCATCCCACAGCTAGTAAATATCTGAAGCCAGATTTGAACTCAGTTCTTCCTGACTCCAGGCCAAGTGCTCTATCCACTGTACCACCTAGCTGCCTTGTTTATATTTTTCCGATATGCATGCAGGTCTGTGAGATGGGCTTAGAACATGTCTTACATGTATATATGCCACCTATGCAGCTATGCTTTCTGTTATGCTATGTCTACTGCATGCATTGTCTATATATATATATACACACACACACACACACACACACACACACACACACACACACACACACACACATATAATATAATTTATATATTCTCTATAAAAGTATGCCAAGATGATTACCTGGGGTTCTGGGTTATTCATTCCTATTCTGTTAACTGTGGATGCTCTTTTGATGCTGTGATATATGATTGAAGATGTCACATGTGCTGCAGCTGATTTTGCAGGGGATCAAAAAAATCCTAACTCCAGAAAGGAGTGCACTGTGCCCCTTCCACTCTGATTCCTTTAGCCCAATGAGCTAGAAAGTAGCTGTGATTGGGCCTGAAGGATGGGATAGAAATGATCAGCATATTCTGATCCAAAAAAAAGTACTGGGGACTATGACTGTTAAGTGAAATGATGCTTCCATTATGTCGCCCCAAGCCCAATTCTAAAGGAAAGGAGAATGGAAGTTGAACAAGAGAGAAGAAACAATGCTTTCAGGAAAGATAATACTCTTCTATAATTTTGTTGTTGTTTATTCCATTATCATCCACTCAGTCATGTAGTTTGTTTTCATGTTTTTGTCTATTTGACTCAGCATTAGTTTCTACCAGGTTCCCCACCCCTGGTTTATGCAAATCTTCTTATGATTTTCTAAATTCTTCATAGACATTAGTTCTTATGGGGCAGTAATATACAATTACATTCAGATATGATTACTTGTTTACCCATTCACCAGTTAGTAGATATCTATTTCATTTCCAGTTCTTTGATAACACAAAAAGGACTACTATGTATATTCTGTACACATGTGACTATTCTTCCTATCTTTGACCTCATTGATCTATACACCTTCTTGTTGCCTGGTCATTTTTTCAGTTGTGACTGACTCTCTGTGACTGCCTTTGAGTTTTTCTTGGCAAAGATACTAGAGTGGTTTGCCATTTCCTTCTTCAGCTCATTTTACAGATGAGAAAATTGAGGCAAACAGGGTTAAGTGACTTGCCTAGGTCACACACCTAGTAAATGTCTGAGGCTGAATTTGAACTCAGTTCTTCCTGACTCTAGGCTTGACACTCTATTCACTGTGCCACCTAACTGTCATATATTTAGCAGTTCTTTGTATTGGCACACACACACACACACACACACATAATTGTTCAGCAATCATATAGTTCAGTTCATTCAGTATCTTGGGGTATAATTTAGCCAGACTAAACGCCTTGAACTTTTTGAGCATAGCTTTGTATTCATTGATTATGTTTAAACTCCCTCTTAACCATTTTTGTTCTATTCTTCCCAACCCAAAGAATAGTCCTAATGTATACATTTTATATATATATATGTATATATATATATATATACATATATATATATATATATATATATATATATATATATAATGTATATGTATAGAATTATATTAGAGATGGAAAGGCAATGGGTAGGGAGATGTGTAGAGATATGTCATGATGACCCTCCTACCACACAATTTAGGTAGCGGCCTGCTTGTCTGGCTGACCTGTGTGAGGTTCAACCTTTGATGATAAAAGTTTTGCATGGTAGCCCTGCTTTCTCAATGAACTCAGAACAAATCAATCTCATACCAGTATCTCCTTAGCAAAGGTATGTACTTTGAATCACTAACTTAATAGATAACTATTAAGTTCTACAATGTGCCAGGCATGAAGGTAGGGACTGACTTATAAGCATTTTTTTAAAAAAGTGATCTAAGATTGGGATCAATATTCAGTCCTGCAACTTACATCTTATGTGACCTCAGTGAGCCTCAGTTTCCTTCTCTAGAAAATGAGGACATTAACGGCAGCTAGGTGGTGCAGTAGATAGAGCTCCAGCCTTGGAGTTAGGAGAACCTGAGTTCAAATCCAGCCTCAGACATTCAACATTTACTAGCTGTGTGCCCCTGGGCAAGTCACTTAACCCTGATTGCCTCACCAAAAAGCAAAAATAAAAATGAGGATGTT